CTGATTTAAAAAAAACTTATATTCTGACTCAGTGCAGCTCTGATGTTTCTTCATTACATATTTGGTCTTGTTCTCCCACTCAGACACTGAAGACTGACAGGAAAAGCCTTGCCCTGATTCGCTGTTATATGAGTGTAGTGGGACTTCATTGACTTACAGCAGTTTTTAGTGTTGCTCATTTTATATGAGTAATCCCAATACCATGAAGTGCTTGAAATTTCATGGAATTGCGTTCTGCTGTCTTTATGGAATTCCCATGAGTTCGTATTGGTCAAATAGTAAATACTGTTTCACTTGAGTATGTATGAGTGCTTATTTGGAGAAACCATTAGATGATTTAGTAAAGAGATTCTTGGGAAAAATTTTAAAGTTTTGCTTGATATTTCGTGTTCACTGTACAAATCTTGATATTTTCTCTGTACCAAAGATAGTTCATGAACTTTTTTTCTGCTCTAATGGGTTTGCTCAAATAAGATCCTATGTGGAATTTAGACCAGTAAAACAGATACTGTTAGAATTGCTTTTGCTCATGTCACAGTGGGCTGGAACTGGGGGGACATGGTAGCCCTATTGACTTGACCTTTCCCACCTGCCCTGTAAGGGTTTCCTCGAGACACAATACCACTAGTGAGAGTTGATCACACACAGTCTTTACTTCTTTATCAGTTTAGCAACCAGAAGCAGAGTTGTTTTTTCTTGATTGTACTAGTACATCTTTTATAATAGGTGCAATCCTAGAAATCAGAATAGAAATAATAATATATCACAGAGTTTGAGCCTTGATTTTACTACTTGGTAGCTCGTGGCCATTGGTAAAGTGCTTAACTTCTCTGATGATTAGTTTCCCATTTTTAATAAAATGAGGATACTATTACGTACCTTTCAGGACTGTTTTAAGAATTATATTAGCTGATGTATGTAGAATGCCTCATATAACCCTTGGCTAATGGCAGCTCACATTGAGGGCCTTCCGTCACTTATTAAATACAGTTTTATGGTGAGACTTTTTAAAACTCTTGGTAAAAAAAATCCCACATAACATAAAATTTACCATCTTAATTAACCATTTGTAAGTATACAGTTCAGTAGTGTATGGTAAGTACATTCACATTGTCGTGCAGCAGATCTCCAGGACTTTTTCATCCTGCAAAAGATACCCATTAAACAACAGTTTCCCATTTCTCTCTCCCCCAAGCCCCTGATAAGCACCATTCTACTTTCTGTTTCTCTGAATTTAACTACTTTAGGTACCTCATAGAAATGGAATCATACAGTATTAGAGACTGGTTTATTTCACTTAGCACAATGTCCTCAAAGTTCATTCATGTTGTAAATTGTGACAAAATTTCCTTCCTTTTTAGGGCTGAATATTCCATTGTGTGTATGTATATGGCAAGACTTTTTAAAAGTTATTTCTTTTTTAAAGCAAGTAATTTTCACTGGTGCTTGTAGTCTTTTGTTTTTAACATATCTGAATTTCCATATGTCAGTTTGCTTAAGACAGGATGTGTTTGCTTTATATTTACATCAACGATATTGAATATTGGTTCAGATTACAAGTAATAGAATTTTACTTGGGTAATTGAAAATTTAAATTGAAGAGCTCACACTCTATTTTATTCTCAATTCTAACCAAGTATTTTGGTATGTGCTCAAATTTTAAATTGCTGTATTTTAAATCATTGCCACTAAATTATATCAATTAACCTTATGTTTACAGTGTTTTCTAGATAATTGTAGACACAGAGGGGTTTTTTTTGTTTGTTTGTTTTGGTCTCTGTGTAATTGACTAATCTGGGCTTTCTGTCCAAAAAAATGCTGTTGGCTTAGCTATTAAAAGGGGGCAGAAAGTTGAAGAACTGTACCTAGGATTTTGTTTAATTTTTAAACAAGAATAGAGGAATAGAGGAACAAGTATTATGGTACTTAGCAGATGACATTACATTCTTCTTTCTGCCTTTGTCAAATTTTACTTAAGGTAAAGAGGAGATGAACTGCCCCGATTGTCTTACACGTCTGATTGTCTTACACGTCTGTCTTTGGAAGTAGCCTATGATGTTGATTTGGCCAAATTCCCTGACATGTGTAACAAGTCACTGGCTTCTAAACTGTTAAATTGAAATAATGTGTCACTGCCACCCACTTCAGCTGAGCATGTGTTCTGTCTTGTCTTGTTTGCAGTTATGAGGTTGGACTTCCACTGACCAGTGCTCTGTGGCACAGCTGGCTGGTGGGTGATGGAGCTGTTGTCTGGGGAGACACTAGAGGGCAGAGCATGCTACCTGCTAGCTGGTGGCATTCACCTAGATTTCTGATGCACATCTGTTGTTTAAGTAGCTCTCTATGCTAAGCTCTTTAGAAACTGACTCATTATATGGAAGCCCTTAGGGCTGAAAAGAAGCCATAACTTCTGAGCTGTTTTTCTAATTTGACCTCAGAAAGTGAATGCTGTGTTGAATGTTTTTACAGCATTGTGAACACATAGTGAACCTGGCCTTTTCCTGCTTCCAGTCCCCCCTCCCCTGCATACATCTTGATGTAATTTAGGAGTAATAAGTGAATTTCTCTTATAGCATTGTAAGCTGTTCTTTGTAATCAAGAGTCCACGTACCCAAATATATTCTGCCACAAATAGAATCCCATGGGAAGAACACCTGGCAAATGCTCGCTTTTCTAAATTGTAGCAAGAAGTCTAATGAAGCTTTTTTCTATGTAATTTCAGCTGCTTTTTGGAATTGAAATGTTTTCAGTTCTTTCAGCATTAATGTATTTAAAGGAGGAGACCTGTCTCTAGTGACATAAAATATAATCACGACAAGTTGAAATATGAGTATAAGTGCTTATTGCCTGTAGTGTGGCTGCTGACATACTGACCGATGGTAGCTCTGACCTCGGTCAGACATGGACACTGGCCTTTCTGCTTCTGTTTGGTGTGATTGACAGCCAAAGACAATATAGAAGTGGGGGGAAATATAAATGTAGAAGTGGATAATGGATTATACAGCCATGTTTCTCCATATTTTCTGTTTTATGAGCTTTGAGAGGAAGGCTTCATGATTTAAGGATAGACAGAAAAATAACTTTGGATGGGAGTGTTTTTGTTAAACTGCTGAACTGCATGTACATGCCTAATCTACTATTCAATAAATTATGGGCTCATCCTTTTGCAAGCCTGATGCCACTGTGACTTAGAGGGAGGTAACTTTGAGAGTTTTGGTGTAAAGGATAGACAGAAAAATAACTTTGGATGGGAGTGTTTTTGTTAAACTGCTGAACTGCATGTCCATGCCTAATCTACTATTCAATAAATTATGGGCTCATCCTTTTGCAAGCCTGATGCCACTGTGACTTAGAGGGAGGTAACTTTGAGAGTTTTGGTGTACTTAGACTGTCACCTCTCATAGCAAGCTGTTGGGCCTCCTCTTTCCTCCAGGTGAGTGTCTCTATAATTATTGCAGTTTGTATCATGATAATTGATTTGGTGCTTTTTTTTCCCAGCCATAGAAATGCTTTCTTCCATAAACCCCTGTCAGAAGGATGAACCTGCCAGGTGATGGAGGATGCTCTGTCTCTGTTCCTTTTGTCTAGTCAGGCTTTCCTGGTTTGTCTGTCACCTGGAATTCAAATACTCAACATAGATAGAGGCTCATTGTGGAACTCTAGAGTTATTGCCCCAACTTGAGAATGGATCACTGCAGCATAAACATAGGGTGATATCTGAGTAAATGATCTATCACTCCAGCAAGGGAGGAAACAAGCACTGATGGAATTTCTACATATACTGAGTACAGAATAAGCAAAATTATTTTAGATTTTATCATATGCCAGGCACTGTTCTAAGCGTGTTACATATGTTATCTCTCTAGTGCTCCCAGCAACCCCATGAGGTAGGTAGTGCTATTTCCACATTTTATAGTTGAGGAAATTGAGGCATAGAGTAGTTGTATTACTTTACTATTGAGTAGCTAGGATTTCGAATTTGAGTCCCGCAGTCAGACTCCCATCTGACTCTTGGCCACTAAGCTGTATCATCCTAAAAAAATAACTGTAAAAAACAGTTACTAACAGACATTGATTTTAAATAATTTTCATATGTTTATATAGCTAATAACTAGAGTTTGAATTAAGGCCTTACTGACCAACCAAAAACTATTTGTTCTCTGATCACCAGAAATGCTTGGAACGTTTTATGAAGCTTTATTAAATGATGTCAAGAGGAGTCATTTCATTTTTCTTTTAGAATAGGTGTGAACATTTTTTTTTTTAATTCAGTCAACACTGAGTGTATGAGTATACTGTGCGTCAAATGCCTTGTTAGATACTGGAAGCATGGAAATTAGCTTCATTAAGACTATGATTGTATCTAGTGATAAATACAGTGTTAGAGAACTATATTGGGTGCCCATCATTGTTAGGCTGTATTTACTTAGTACCAATTTGTCAGTTAGAAGGTACTTCAAATTGTGGTATGTTCCTTTTTTCTTTCTTTTCACCCCCTAGGCGTTGTCTACCCTGGACTCCATCACTCTGATGTACCCTTTCTTTTACCGGCCGATGTTTGAAGTGGTGGAGGACGGCTGGCATTCCTTCCTTCCTGAGCAAGAGTTCGAGCACTATTCTTCAGCCGTGAGTTAACATCTGAGAACTGTGGGTAATGAGAAATAATCCAACCCCTTATTCCACTTGTGAAAATGATCACTTCCTTTTGAGAGGTAATAAGGTGAAGTTGGCTTATCCATGACCAAAAGAAGTACATATTGGCTATTAAAGCTGCAGTCACAGTAAAATAAGAGCTAATGAATGTATCCACAGGCACTGGGGAAATGACATTAGATGTGTGTTATAGAAAGTCAATTCTGATGCAAGATGCTGAGAAACTTAAGAGGCCACTGTAATAGTATAAAGAGGATGGTTGGGTCAATGGCAGACGGGTTATATTGTAGAAAGATTCAGGAAGCAGAATTACAAGCAATTGGTGACCTACTCACTGGATGTGAGAGGTAAAATGAGGTGTCCTCCAGGATGATACTGAGATAGGAAAGACAGAGAAATTTGTTTGACGGAATGAATTGAGTTTAGTTTTGGAGATGGCGAATGCGAAGGCCTTATGGTACATGTCATTGAATATGTCCAAGATATCGTTTAGAGCTTGTTTGATAAATCTGTGTTAAAAATGAAAAGTTGGGAGTTATCATCACCCTGTCAGTTGTAGAAACCACGGGGAGAAGCTGTGGCTACTGAGAGGAAGCATCTGAAGTGAGAAGGAGGGACAGGGACTGAAACATCTAAGAGGCAAGAGGCGGAAGAGCCAGGGACGATCAGGTTTCAAGTAGGAGGAGTCAGGAGTCTAGAAGGCTGTTTGTTTGTTTGTTTGTTTGTTTGGCAGCTGGCCAGGATGGGGATCCAAACCCTTGACCTTGGTGTTACTAGCATCATGCTGTACCGAGTGAGCTAACTGGCCAGCCCCAGGGCTTCTTATTCATTGTTTCTTTATTGTCTGTCTCCTGGGTTAGAACATAAGATACTGGAATATAAACCATATGAGGGTAGGGACCATGTCATTTTTGTTCCCTGCTGTCTTCTTAGCATATGACAGACAAGTGGTAAATATTTGTTGAGTTAACGAATGTGGGAGTGTGTATATTTATGCTGGATAGGGCAGAAAGACAGCAGAGCCTTCTATATATCATTAGACATCTTCTGCCAGGTACACATCCATCATTTAATCAGTTTTCTTTGGGTAAGGCTTTTTTGACCAATTGAAAAACTCTTTAATTATAATATTAGCCAGTCCATTTCTCTGTTATGTCAAAAGAGACATCTGGTATTGGGAGGACAGAATATTAAAACTAGCTGTGCCTTGTGTGGCACCCCAGATATGTTATGAGCTGCTTGACTTTCTGGGACTCAGTTTCCTTGTCTATGAAATGAAAGTATTGGAAAAAAAATTCTATCATTCTCTCATGTTTAGCATACTTTAAAATTTCTATACTAGAAAAGAAGAAGAGTCTTAAAATCATTGATCTAAGCATCAATTTAAGAAGATAGGAAAATTTTAAAAGCTTATTTTAAAAGCTCTGGGAATTACTAAAATAGACCAGAGTGGTAGAAACCAACCGAGTAAGTTGCAGAGCAACAAGTTTTGCTCAGTATGAGGAAGAACTTTCTAGGAACTAGTGATAGCTAGCATTGCAGGAAGCTAGCCCTGAAAAGAGAGCTCATTTTCTTTGCAGGTATTTAATTATAGGCTAGATATTCTATTAAATTCCTGAGATATGGCTTTGTCATCAGTGAAAGTTGATCTCTAAGGTCCTTTAAAATTTTTCAGATTTATTTTATGACATTGAGATACTTGCTTAGCTTTGAAGTGTCTTGTGTTTTTCAGACCAGTGAATGGAGGCTGAGCTATGTCAATAAGGAATTTGCTGTCTGTCCCTCTTACCCACCAATTGTCACAGTACCCAAATCCATTGATGATGAAGCTCTTCGGAAGGTAGCTGCATTTCGACACGGAGGGCGCTTCCCAGTACTAAGCTATTATCACAAAAAAAATGGAATGGTAAGTTCACGGTACTACTGCTTGATCTGCTGAAAGGCTCGCCTTGGGGATCTTTTCTTAGAAATGTTCCCTTTTTCTGTGTATGTGTTCATCGGAATGATTGGCCAGGTCTCTCCCACTAGGACTTCCTTCATGTAAACTTTGGGGAATCAGGAGTGGATGTTTTCTGTGGTGAGGGTATGACTCTGGATTCTTTCCTTGATGCTGAAGCTTATTTAAAAGCCCAGATAGATTTACCTTTAGGACACAGTAGAGAGGAAACTAGTGTTTATTAGATGTTTACCACAATGTTTTTAAGGTATAAAAATGAGAAATTTGTCTGCCCAGATTAATGGTAAGATAATCTTAATTTTTCTTACCAGACTTTCATGTGAAAGGTGAATTGAGCAGGCGTGTTTATTTTCAGAAGGGAGAAGAGTGATACGTGTCGTGTAGTCACAAGTTTAGTGAGCATGGGAATCAGGAATTGAACAAGCAAAGGCTCTCTGGATTTCTTTCCCATATGTTCTCTAAATCTTTTTCTCCCCTCACGTTTTCTCTCAGTCAGTAAACTCTGCCTTTTATTTTGAAACCAATAATAAATTAGTGGATGAGTTCTAGCTACCTTCCATTTTCCTTTTTCTCCCTGGTAATATGTAAAAAATAGATATTTAGGATAAAAACGTTTTTAAAAATTCACTACTTTGTCATCAAGCCATTTATTAGTTTCTGTTGCTTATAATAGAATACCTGAAACTGGGTAATTTATAAAGAAAAGAAGTTTATATCTTACAGTTCTGGAAGCTGGGAAGTCCAAGGTCGAGGGGCACATCTGCTGCGGGCCTTCTTCCTGGTGGGGACTCTGCAGGGTCCTGAGGCAGTGTAGGGAATCACATGGCAAAAGGGCTGAGCGGGTTAACATGCTTCCTTCCTCTCCTTATAAGCTACCAGTCTACTCCCATGATCACACCTTAATTCATTACCCATTAATCCATGAGTGGATTAATCCATTTATGAGGCCATAGCCTTCATGGTCCAGTCACCTCCTAAAGGTCCTACCTTTCAAATACCATATTGGGGATTAAGCTTTAATTAACATGAGATTTGGAGGAGTCAAATATTCAGACCACAGCAGGCCACCTATTCTGCTTATTGGGTACGATTGCTCTTCAGAAGGATTTATTATAAAGCATTTTGACAACTGGTTTTAAATATAGTGTTGTGTCCATTTGAATGGTAAGCACTGTCTGAAAGTTAAACATTGTCATCCTCTGGATGACCTTTCTTGGTCATGTTAAATTTAAAGGTAGGGGGCCGGCCCGGTGGCGCACTGCTACAGTGCGCCGCTTGGGAGTGTGGTGGCACTCCCGCCGAGGGTTCAGATCCCACATACAGACTGGCTGCTCACTGGCTGAGTGAGGTGCAGGCACAACACTGAGGGTTACAATCCCATTGCCGGTCCCGGTCCGGTACGGGCGCGACACTGAGGGTTGCGATCCGTTGCCAGTCACGAAAAAAAGACAAAAAGGAAAAAAAAAAATTCAAGGTAATTAAGATAACAATAAATGTTGGTCTCTTGAAATAATTAAACCATTCACCAGGCAAGATTAGTGCAATACATACTGATTTCTTGAGAAAAGTTTCAAAAGCAAACCTTTCAAATGATGTAGTCGGTTGAGTCCCGGGATACTGAGGAGATTGGCAGAGGGCCACTGGACAATAAATGATAGACAAGAAGCTTTCGAAATATTGAAAACAATTCCCCAAGAAGAAGAATCGTGCATAGACTTTTTTATTTTCCCATGAGTCCCTTTTCTCTTTGTAATTCTTGCTAAACCTGCCAACCCTATGTATATATAGTTGAAGTCAAGGTTTACGGGCTCATAGGCCATTACTGTCTTCATTCCAGGGCCAAGTCCACTGGGTGTTTGGTTCATGGACTAAATGAATTGCAGTAGTTTATCCTAAAGAGGTGATATTATTATGGGAGAGTATTTTGAAAATATGGATTAAAAAAATTGTGTAAAAATGTAAGGCTTATCTTTGTTTTACACTTACTGTTATCAATACATGAAAATATTTCTTTGTTTTTGGATTAAATCTATCTACTAAACCTCACACAATTGCTTTTGAGATACTCTTAACCTAGCTGATTCCTTTTTGAGTTATTCTTATCCTAGCTAATTCCTTTCTGTTTTTGAAGCTTTACAAGCAACTGCTACTAAATTTTCAGCTATGTTGTACCTCTAGGTCATTATGCGAAGTGGTCAGCCACTTACTGGCACTAATGGGAGGAGGTGCAAGGAAGATGAGAAGCTGATAAATGCCACCCTCAGGGCAGGAAAGCGGGGCTACATCATTGACACCCGGTCTCTAAATGTGGCTCAGCAAGCCAGAGCCAAAGGAGGAGGCTTTGAACAAGAAGCTCATTATCCCCAGTGGAGGCGAATCCATAAATCCATTGAGAGGTACAGTCTAAGGACTCTTACTTGAAGCTAATTAGAGTGGGTGAGCCTTTAGCTTTTCAAAACTCACAAGTGCTCAAATGAACCTTCTGTTAATTTAGGGTTAATAATTGGCTGGACATCTCTCTGTGTTTTGTTTTGGGGTTTTTTTGGTCGCTTTATTAAGGTTTGACAGATGAAATAGTGTATATTTATGGTGTACAATGTGCTGTTTTGATATATGTGTACATTGTGAAATGATTAAATCAAGCTAATTAATATCCATCACCTCACATACGTCTTTTTTTGTGGTGAGAACATTTAAGATCTACTCTCTTAGCAGTTTTCGAGTATACTATACACTATTAACTGTAGTCACCATGCTGTAGGGTTGATCTCCAGAACTTTTTCTTCTGTCTTAAACTTTGTACTCTTTGGTCAACATCTTCCTACATTCCCCTCCGCTACCCCTCCCCGGTAACTACCACTCTCTGCTTCTATGAGTAACTTTTTTTACATTCCGCATATAAGTGAGATCATGTGGTATTTGTCTTTCTGTTTCTGGTTTATTTCATTTAGCATAATGTCCTCCACATTCATTTTTGTTGTCGCAAATGAAAGGATTTCCTTTTTTTAAAAGGCTGAGTAGTATTCCATGCATGTGTATATAACACATTTTCTTTGTCCATTTATCTGTTGGTGGACATTGAGGTTGATTCTGTATCTTGGCTATTGTGAATAATGCTGTAGTGAACATGGGAGTGCAGATCTCTTTGAGATTCTGATTTCATTTCCAGAGGAAATTGAGAGGAATCCCAGTAGTGGAATTTTCAGATCATATGGTAGTTCTACTTTTAATTTTTTGAGGAACCTCCGTACTGTTTTCGATAATGTCTGTACCAACCTACATTCCCACCAACAGTGTACAAGTTGTACACTTGTAAAAGTATTCCTTTTCTCCACATCCTTGCCAGCATTTTTTATCTCTTGCCTTTCTGATAATAGGCATTCTGATAAGTGAGATGATATCTCATTATGGTTTTAATTTGTATTTCCCTGATAATTAGTGATATTGAATACCTTTTAATATATCTGTTGGCCATTTGTATGTTTTGAGAAATGTCTATTCAGGTCCTTTGCCCATTTTTTAATCAGATTATTTGTTTTATTGCTATTGAGTTTTTCGAGTTCCTTATATGTTTTGGATATTAATCCCTTATCTGGTATATTGTTTGTAAATACTTTCTCCCATTCCATAGGTTGTCTCTTCACTCTGTTGACTGTTTCTTCTACTGTGCAGAAGCTTTTTAATTTGATGCGGTCCCATTTGTCTATTTTTCTTTTTGTTACCTGTGCTTTTTGAGTCATATCCAAAAAATTCTTTGCCCAGACCAACGTCAAATAAGATTTTTTCCTAAGTTTTCTTCTGGTAGTTTAGTTTCATCTTTTATGTTTAAGTCTTTAATACATTTTGAGTTGATTTTTATATATGGTGTGAGAAAAATTCCATTTCTTTCTACAGCATGTGGATACCCTATTTTCCCACCACTATTTTTGTACAAACCGTTGTGTATTCTTGTCACCTTTTTCAAAGATCAGTTGACTATCAATGCATAGATTTGTTTCTGGGCTCTCTGTTCTGTTTCATTGGTCAATATGTCTGTTTTTTTGCCAGTGCCATGTTGTTTTGATGAGTATAGCTTTGGGGTGTATTTTAAACTCAGGTAGTATGATGCCTCCAGCTTTGTTCTTTTTTGCTCAAGATTGCTTTGGTTATTCAGGGCTTTTTGTGGTCTCATACGAATTTTAAGTTTTTTTTTTTTTTTTAATATTAATACCTCCAGTCCATGAACCCGGGAGATCTTTCCATTTATTTGTATCTTCTTCAATTTCTGTCATCAGTGTTTTATAGTTTTCAGTGTACAAATCTTTTACCTCTTTGATTAAATTTACTTCTAAGTTTTTTATTATTTTCATTGATATTGTAAATTGGATTGTTTTCTTGATTTCTTTTTCCATTAGTTCACTGTTGGTGTGTAGAAATGCTACTGAATTTTGTATGTTGATTTTGTTCCTGCAACTTTACTGAATTCGTTTATAATTTCTAACAGTTTTTTGGTGGACTCTTTAGGGTTTTCTATATAGAAGATCATGTCGTTTGCGGACAGAGATAACTCCTTCCTTTCTGATTTGTGTGTCTTTTATTTCTTTTTCTTGCCTAGTTGCTCTGGCAAGGACGTCCAGTACTGTGTTGAATAGAAGTGGTGAGAGTGGGCACCCCTGACTTGCTCCTGATCTTAGAGGGAAAGCTTTCAACTTTTCACTGTTGAGTAGGATGTTAGTTGTACGCTTGTCATATATGGCCCTTATTGTGTTGAGGTACATTCCTTCCATACCTAATTTGTTGAGAGTTTTTAATCATAAAAGGGTGTTGAGCTTTGTGAAATGCTTTTTCTGCATCTATTGAGATGATTGTATTTTTGTCTTTCATTCTGTTGATATGGTATATCACATTTATTGATTTGCATATGTTGAACCATCCTTGCATCCAAGGGATAAATCCCACTTGATCATTGTGAATGATTCTTTTAATGTGCCATTGGATTTGGTTTGCTAGTAGTGTATTTTGTTGAGGATTTTTGTGTCTATGTTTATCAGGGATATTGGCCTGTAATTTTCTTTTCTTGTGGTATCTTTTTCTGGTTTTGGTATCAGGGTAATGCTGGCCTAGTAAAATGAATTTGGAAGTATTCCCTCCTTTTCAGTTTTTTGGAAGAGTTTGGGAAGGATTGGTATTCGTTCTTTAATTGTTTGGTAGAATTCAGCTGTGAAGCCTGGGCTTTTCTTTGATGAAAGAAATTTTTTGTATTACTAATTCAATTTCCTTGTTATTGATCTGTATAGATTTTCTGTTTCTTCATGATTCAGTCTTGGTAGGTTGTAGCTTTTAGGAATACATCCATTTCTCCTAGGTATCCCATTCGTAGATGTATAATTGCTCTTAATCTTTTATGATCCTTTGTGTTTCTGTAGTATCAATTGTAAATGTCTCCTCTTTCATTTCTGATTTTGTCTTCTCTTGTTTTTTTAGTTAGTACAAATAAAGGTTTGTCAATTTTGTTTATCTTTTCAAAAAACCAACTCTCATTGCATTTTGTAAGATAAGCAAGAACACTTGTCTTGGATGCCCACAGGTGAGTTTTTGTCAAATAGTGCTCCTCTCAGTCAGCTCTGCAGTTTTACCACAAAGTCTACTCTTCCAGGTGTAGATCAGTGGTTGCCAAATTGATAGAACATATTTTCTACATATAATTATATTTTCCTAAGTCAAAAGACTTTAGAGATTTCCTTTCTCCCCATAACTACCTGTTTTCACACTGTTTCTCCCACCTATACAGTCTTTTGTTTACACTTTGAGTGGTTTATAAGTGCTTCTGAGTGGATAGGTAGGAGTTGGGGTAAAAACAGTGGGATCTGAGCTGGTCTTAGGTATCACTGCTGATGGTACCAGGGTATCACAGTGTTAGATCACTGGGAATAGGATTACAGATGTAAATGGTGCTGTGTCTTGTGACCTGTCACAAAAATTTATGCTGTGGCCCTCTACCCTAGTCAGATAATCCAGCTATATGAACTGCTTTAATCTGTTCAGATGAGGTACAGTTTACCATGATAGGCATTTTAAGCATCTTTACAACATTGTTTAAATATTAGTTTTTTAGTCTTTAATCCTTAAGTTGCTGTGTAGCCGTGTAAATATTTTTATAGTACTTTGAACTACTTTTGCTCTTGGATATGTTAGAGGCTGAGTTTTCAGTTTGGCTTCTTCCTTTATCAATCTATTCCTATTTCATTGTTTTGTATTTTAATTTCTTATTCTTATTTTTAAAAGGTACCACATTCTTCAGGAAAGCTTAATCAAACTTGTGGAAGCTTGTAATGACCAGACACATAACATGGACCGATGGCTCAGTAAATTGGAGGCCTCCAACTGGCTGACTCACATCAAAGAGATTCTGACCACTGCCTGCCTCGTGGCTCAGTGTATTGACAGGTGAAGTGGCTTTCAGCATTCCTGAGTGGGACATGCTCTGATAACTGGACTTGGTTTTTATCCAGACATATATTTATAGATTGTGTTAAAAGTGTGTATCTATTCTATATCTTATGTTCAGGTCATTTTAGAAATTACTATGTAAGATAGTCAACACCATTAGTTATCGATGGGCTATGTGCATAGAGTCTGGTATTTAATAGATAATTAACATTTATTGAATGAATGTGAACCATGTACATACACCCGTCTTCTACAACACAAATGTTTTAAGTACTAAAGGACCTCTTTTTTTCTATATAATCCTTAAATTATGAATTTACCAAGTTTGGTTTTCTTAAACTGTGAAAAGGAGTGAAAGGAAATTTTCTTATTTCTTCTCAGAGAATCAAATTTACCTCCGTACTTTTGAAATATCAATGAGAAGAAAGAAGTAATTTTGTTACACAGTAAAATGATCCTTTCTAATTTTCAGATATCCTATTATAAACTACTTGTGCTGTTATATGTGGATACAAGTTGAGAAAACCTAACTGTACTGATGCAAAGTATATGAAGTGATTTTAGTTTATTCACCCAGTTAAAGGTTGCTAAGCCTTGAGACTTGAGGCAGAAGACTGAACAGAGGCAGAAGGATTGGTATAAGTTGTTGCAGAAGCTTAGAATGCCCTTTTTAAGAAGGGGATTCCCACTGAAACAATAGGTAGGTGTAAGTATAGATAAGGTAATTAAAGATCAAGATTCTGTGACAGAGAAATCAATAACACGTAACTGTGAGAAGTTAATGTGGACGGTGCTTGGTATAAGTTGTTGCAGAAGCTTAGAATGCCCTTTTTAAGAAGGGGATTCCCACTGAAACTTGATCTTTAAGGTAATTAAAGATCAAGATTCTGTGACAGAGAAATCAATAACACGTAACTGTGAGAAGTTAATGTGGACGGTGCTGTTATTTTTTAACCTAAGTTTACTAGATTTCTCCTTACATTGTAAGAACAGGCTTTTGGTTTCTTATGAAACATGATTGTAATAAACGTTTATCACCACATTGTCTAAATTTGCAGCCATAATAACAAGATGATGTAGATCAAGGCAACCCTAGGTGCAGAGCAGTTGTTGTCATCTCCACCCTTGCTTAGTTTGGGCTGGCAACCTTAAGCAGGGACTCCAAACTCTTCTGAGGGCTTACAGTTGTGGTTTATTTTGCCATGTTTGGATTCCCTTTTCTGATATGTATTAGCTTATTATTTAAGGTATAAAATTTTGCCCTTATAATTAGTTGATAAATATGTAAAAATAAACCTTAAATTAATTGAATTAAATTCAGAATATCTCACAGATAATTAAGATGTATGCTCAGTATATATCAGGAGGCTTAAAGTACTTGCTCATACCCTTCAGCCTAGTCATTAGATTTTATCCTAAGAGTAGGGTTGTTAACCTAACCATAGGTAAACTTCAGGGGTCTGTTATTTTCAAATTAAGAACTCTCTTCAGTAGAAGACAAAAAGCTAAGTACATCATCTACAGTATAACAGAAGTTGGCATAACCTAAATGTTCAGCTGTCAGATTAAGTAAATTATAGTTTATCACTTAGTAGAATATTTTATAATCATTAATACAGTAGTCCTAAAGATTACATAGAAACATGGGAAAATTCTTATAATAAAAGTGAAAACAATAGGAAATTACCTTTTATTATATCATATAAAGTATATATCTACATGAGAAAAGAATTGATGGTAGTAACCAAATGTGAAACTTCTATGTGAAGTTGGTATTTTTTGTTTTCTAAAATTTTCTTCACTGTTGTTTCAATAAAAAGGATGGAAAAAGGGCCGGCCCGGTGGTGCACTGGAGAGTGCGCTGCTTGGGAGTGTGGCGGTGCTCCCGCCGAGGGTTCGGATCCCATGTGGAGACCGGTTCCCGCTCACTGGCTGAGCGCGGTGCGGGTGCAACACCAAGGGTTGTGATCCCGTTGCTGGTCAGTAAAAAAGACAAAAAGGAAAAAAAAAAAGGATGGAAAAAGATGTAGTTAATTTGGTTTTGCTGTTTCCCTCCAGTATTTTTAGAATAATGTGGTACCAGACACCTCATACGTCTCGTGGTATCATGGTATCATTGCCACCGATTATCTAGATTGAAAGTTTTATGTTTTTGTTTTTTCCTGTTTCTCAAAGTATGGTTTAAGACTTGCCTCCCAGATCCATAACAGTTTATGAAGGTGTCCTTACAGTCAGCTGATGGTGGAAAGGTAGAATCAAGATCAGAGAAATAATTGTAAGTGTAAGCTTAGAGGTTTGTTGAGAAAAGACTTTAATCTACTACTAAAGCAGAAAAGGTAAGTGCCTTACCAGCCAGCCACCAAAAAACAAAAAAGGTAAGTGTCTTCTGTGATAAGGACTGCTTCTCTGTTTTGTAAAAAGAGAAAATTCAGCCAAAAAGTTCTGTCAAATTTGTTATAACTTAAAGGGGTTCTTGCCATGTGAAATTTAGGACTCATTACAGTCTTACTTTTTCCCAAGAGAAGGTCTGATCTATCATATGCCATATTTGGACTCTAAATCCTCCTGGACACAGCAGATGTAGGAGACTGGAATATTGTACTCAAAAATGTTTACTATTAACACAGTGTATTAACCATGTCAGAGTATCCCATTTGTCCTCTGGATTTTCCTGTCAGGGAGGGAGCGTCAGTACTGATTCATGGAACAGAAGGAACTGATTCCACGCTGCAGGTGACCTCCCTGGCCCAGATCATCTTGGAACCAAGAAGCAGGACTGTCCGTGGTTTTGAGGCCCTCCTAGAAAGAGAGTGGCTACAGGTGAGAAAAGATATTTGATACATAGAGGAACCGCTAATAATATATTGGGATCCTGGTTTGTGGTAGCTGACATCACATACAAAATTTTGATTGATTAAAATTTTTTAATTGTGTGTTTAATTTGCTGCAGGCAAATTAATCCATCTTCCCCTCAGTAATGTTTGTAATCTCTACCGCCTCTCAGTTTCTGGACCTCTCTCTGCCTGTGTCGCTCCCTTGGCCCTTGGTTCACTGAACACATTCTCGTCAGCACACTTCGTTATATATATGGAGTGCAAAGAACGCAAAGCACGGTGTGTCCTCCCAGAAGCTGGTCTTGACAGAGATGGCGGTGTGGGGCCGCAGTTCAAGGCACGCACATTAGTGCCGAGCCCTTTGTTCCTCCTGCGCCGTGCTACCCTCGTTCCTAACCATGACCTCCTTCATAGATAAAAGCAATTCATTTTCTTCATGTCCTCTTTTCCTGAACGAAACCCCAAAAAGTGATGACCTTGAGGTTAGAGACCTATCCCTATTTGTCTGTTTATCCCTAGGACACAAGTGCTATTATATGTGACCACTAAAATGAAAATCTCAAACACATAGATTGAAATTACTTGTGAATGTATTTTCACTGTGTAACTTAGTAAAAATTGTGATTGAAAACAAGTGATTAGATATTTCTTGAAAGCAGATGTGTCTCTGGTGAAAAATAATTTCTAGCCCTTCTAATTACAATTCAAATTTATTGTGTATTCATGCTGTGTGTACACCACATCTACACTGCCTGACTGCTGACCTTTTTCTCTGTTTGTCAGACCAGGTGCATAGTAAACAATTGAGTATGGTTTACTTGTTTATATATTACCATTTTAATGGTATCAAAATTCAGTTAGCCTCTGGAAAATTTTCATGGTGTTATCTTTGTTAGATAAAGTTGGATAAGGACCCAAAGATAAGGCAGGTCTGTGAAATACCTAGTAGAGTGTGATTTGTGGTAAGGAAGGTCAGTACTTGGGCAGGAAGGCCAAATGATCCTTAAGTTTACCTGGTCAGTAGACAGCAGACTCTTCCCGTTAATTTTGGGAAAAGAGGGTGATTAAGGACAGCTTTATCTCTTATATAAAATTATTCATAAATAACTCTTCATGACAATAACTTTTTTCACATGTAATAAAAAACTTAATGTCAGAGCTGACCTTACAAAGTTTGTCTGTCAGTCTCACATCTGTCTCCATTTAGTTGTTGAGGCTTGTGTAGCTTGCAACAGGATCTATAACATTTTAGATAAATAGAAGGTGATAGTTATCCTTTGATTTGTACCTGACAACTTATGTTCTTTGAGTTTGCTATAGATTTGACAGATCTAGAAAGGTCTATTTTATAAGTTCACCATTACTTAAGTTCATTATTTTTCCATTTGCTATTCCAAGGACAGGTGCATCTTTGTGAAAGTCATGCCTTGACTGTCCAGTCTCATTAACAAGTTGGAAGTTGTGTCTTTTTCTTCAATTGCTGAAATTATTTATTTTAAATCAAGAAATTGTTAATCAAAACAGCAGTTACCCTAATTATATGATAGTCCAGTTAATAAGAACTTCATTGTGACTGTGTGAAATGATGTTAATGGGATCTCACTGGATGTGACTGTCACATCTCCATCTCTTCTCTCAGGCTGGCCACCCGTTCCAGCAGCGCTGCGCACAGTCAGCCTACTGTAGCAGTAAACAGAAGTGGGAGGCACCTGTCTTTCTCCTCTTCTTGGACTGCGTGTGGCAGATACTTCGCCAGTTCCCCTGTTCTTTTGAATTTAACGAGAGCTTCCTCATCATGCTCTTTGAGCATGCTTATGCCTCACAGTTTGGGACATTTCTTGGCAACAGTGAAAGTGAAAGGTGGGTGCACAGCTCATGTGGGACGTTTCATTTCTGTTTGGGTCACTTCCTAGAAAAAACCAGGACGTGGTTCTGTGTTGATGTTGTTTATAACAAGGTAGAGGCTGCATTTAAGTATGAATTAAATTACATGAAGTGTGTTCTTATTATGAGCCAGTCACATGCTAGAGGAGAGCATATTCTAGATTTGTTCTGTTAGTTAAACTTAGTTCACACACTGATTTAAAAGCATCAAGTAAGTCAAGCAACCATGTTAAATGTTCATTTCTTCTTATTTATTTGTTTTACAGGAGCTGTCTTTGCTGGACTAAATGTTAATTTCTTTATATAGGATCATTGTCTGTTACATTGGAAAGAAGCCTTATCATGTAACTCAGCTCTCCTCCACCCAATTTTATAGTTTAAGAAAGGAAGATTCAGAGAAGTTAAGTGACTTGTCCAGGGACACAGAGCTGGTTGGTCACCAAAGTACGGCCTGTAGTACAGGTCTTCCTGCTGCTGCTCTAGACTTTGTCTGCTACACCTAGAAACTGGCCTCAGGCCCAGAGTGACTATCTCACTTCACAGCTCAGATACTATTGAGTTTTTATAGGTTTATTTAGAAGATACACATTAGACTCTTCTTTAAAGGTACTTAACTGGTAGTCTTCTCTGTTGGGTACGATCACCAGATTTCCTCTGGGTGAGAGGCAGGATTTACCTTGTTGCCAGTAGCCAGCCAGCATTGTTTATTTGAATAGTAAATTTGTAGAATATATCAGTACTTCATTCCTTTCCATTACTGAGTAATTTGCCATTGTATAGATATATCCATTCATTACTTAATGGACATTTGGGCTGGCTTTTGTTGTTGTTGTTGTTGTTGTTACCATGAATAATGCTACAGTAAGCATTTATGGACACATTTTTGTGTGGACATATGTTCATTTATCTTAGGTATAATCCTAGGAGTGGTCTTGCTGGGTTGTATGATTTTGCATTTTGAGGAGCTCTCATTTTACATGCCCACCAGTGGTGTATAAGGGTTTCAGTTTCTCCATGTCTTTACCATTTGTTACTGTGTCTGCCTTTTTGATTTAGTCATTCTAGTGGGCGTAAAGTATCTTCTCATCATAGTGATTTGCATTTCTGTAATGACTAATGATGTCGATCATCTTTGCATGTGTTTGTCGGCCATCTGTATATTTTCTTGGAGAAATATCTGTTCAAATACTTTGTCCATTTTTTAGTTGGGCTTTTTTTTATTGTGGAGGTATATGAGAATTTTGATAAGGATTGCATTGAATCCGTAGATAGTTTTGGTTAGTGTTACCACATTAACAATATGAAGTCTTCCAATCTATGAATATCGGATGTCTTTCCATTTATATAGTTTTTTCATTTTTTTCAGCAATATTTTAGTTTTCAGTGTACAGGTATTTCACTTCCTTGGTTAAATTTGTTCTTTGAAATTCGTTTTTTCGGATGCTCTTGTAAATTAAATTGTTTTCTTAATTTCCTTTTCAGAGTGTTCATTACTGTTATATAGAAACACAACTGTTTTTTGTGTGTTTATCTTCTACCCCACAGTTTTGCCAAATTTGTTTATTAGATTTAATAGTTTTTTTGCTTTCATGTGTGTGTATTCTTTGAGATTTTGTATATATAGGATTATGTTATCTGGACATAGAAGTAGTTTTACTTCATTTCTAGTGTGCATCCCTTTTCTTTCTTTTTCTTGTCTGATGAACTTCCAGTGCAATGCTGAACAGTGGTGGTGAACATGGGCAACCTTGTGGTGTTCCTAGTCTTAGGGAGAAAGCTTTCATTCTTTGACCATTGAGTATGATATTAGCTGGGGTTTTTTTCCCACCTATAAATGCTCTTTATCATGTTGAGGAAGTTCCCTTCAATTCCTAATTTGTTGAGTGCTTCAATCATGAAAGGGTGTGTTTAGTCAAATGCTTTGTCTGTGTCAATTGCAATGATCATGTAGGTTTTTTTCCTTCTTTCTATTAATGTTGTGTATTATATTAATTGACATTCTTATGTTGAATCGCCCTTGCATTTCTGGGTTAATCATGGTGTATAGTCTTTCTAATATTCTGCTGAATTCTGTTTGCTAGTATATTGAGGATTTTTGCATCCGTATTCACAAAGGATATTGACCTGTAGTGTTCTTTTCTTGTTTGCTTCATAAAATTAGTTAGGAAGCATTCCCGCCATTTTTGGTTTTTTGGAGAATTTGCAAAGGATTGATGTTCATTCTTTAAATGTTTGGTATAATTCACCAGTGATGCCATCTGGTTCTGGACTTTTCTTTTTTGAGAGGTTTTTCTGATTCAGTCTCTTACTTGTTATAGGTCTGTTGAAATTTTCTATTTCTTGAGTAGTTTAGTTAGTTTGAATGTGTTCATAGGAATTTGTCCATTTCATCAAGGTTATCTGATTTGTTGGTGTATGGTTATTCATAGTATTCTCTTATAATCCTTTTTATTTCTATAAGATTGGTAGTAATGTTCCACTTTTATTTCTGTTTTGGTTACTTGCATCTTCTCTCTTTTTCTTTGTTAGTCTCTCTTTTCTTTGTTAAAGGTTTGTCAGTTTTATTGTTGTTTTCAAAGAAGCAACTTTTGGTTTCATTGATTCTCTACTGTTTTGTTCTCTATTTTGTCTGTCTTTGATCTTCTTTTTTCCTTTTCTCTATTAGTGTTGGCTTAGTTTGCTCTTCTTTTTCTAGTTGCTTAAGGTGTAAAGTTAGGTTATTGATTTAAGATATTTGTTCTTTTTTAATGTAGATAGTTACTGCTATGAATTTTGAGCACTGCTTTCACAGGATCTCCATAAATTTTGGTATGTATTTATTCATCTATAAGTATTTTCTGATTTCTCCTATAGCCCATTGGCTGTTTAAGAATGTGTTGTAGAATTCCATACATTTATGGATTTTTCAATTTTCTGTTTTTGATTTCTAGCTTCATTTTATTGTTGAAGATACTTTGTATGATTCCAGTTTTCTTAAATTTACTGAGACTTGTTTTGTGGCCTAATATGTGATCTGTCCTGGAGAATATTTCATGTACACTTCAGAAGAATGCATTTTCTGTTGTTCGGTGGTTATCCTATATTTATCTTACATCTTGTTCAGGTCCCATATTTCCTTATTGATTTTCCGTCTATATGTTATCAAAAATAGAGTATTGAAGTCCTCAACTGTATTGTAGGACTGTCTATTTTTCTGTTCAATTATGTCAGTTTTTGCTTCATATATTTTGTGGCTGTGGTGCAAGGTGGATATATGTTTATAATTGTTATGTCTTCTTGATGGATTGACCCTTTTACCAATATATAATCTTCTCTCTTGTAAGAGCTTTTTACTTAAAATCTATTTTTTCTGTTATGATAAATACACTCCAGTTCTCATTTGTTTACTATTTGCATGGAAAATATTTTTCCATCCTTTCACTTTTAGACTGTTTGTATCTTTGACTCTAAAGTGAATCTTTTGTAGGTAATAAGTAGTTGGATCATGTGTTTTTATCCATTCAGACAATCTCTGCCTTTTGATTGGAGAGTTCACTGTTTATACTTAAAGTGATGACTGATAAGGATTTTGTTTTCTCTGTCTTATACCTCTTGTCCCTTTCTTCTTCATTATTGCATTTATTTATGTTTATTTGATTTTTTGTAGTGTACCATTTAGATTCCCTTCTCATTTCTTTTTTGTATGTATTTGTAAAATATGTTTTTTATGGTGGCTACCACAGGGATTACAATTAATATCCTAAATTAATAACAGCCTAGTTTGAATACCATCATAGCTTCAGTATCATACAAAACTGCTTCTGTACAGCTCCCCTCTTATGTTGTTGTCACAAATGACATCTTTATACATTGTGGGCACATTACTGTAGATTTGTAATTTTTATGCAGTTGTTATTTAAATTGTGTAGAAAATAAAGGAGTTGTAAATCAAAAATACATTAATAACTGGCCTCGATATTTTCCTATATCATTATCTTTGCTGGAGCTCCTTCATATGGTTTTAGTTACTCTCTAGTGTCTTTGCATTTCTTTTGTAGAATAGGTCTATAAGCAATGGACTCCTTCAGTTTTTGTTTATCTGAGAATGTCTTAATGTCTCCTTTATTTTTAGAGGATAGTTGGCCAGATATAGAATTTTTGGTTTGCAGGTTTCTTTCAGCACTTTAAAAATGTCATCCTGTGTCCTTCTGGCCTCCATGGTTTCTGATGAAAAATCTGCAGTTAATCTTAATAAGGATCACTTGTAAGGAGTCACTTCTCTCTTGCTCCTTTCGCATTATAATGTGTCTCAGTGTGGATCTTTTTGCCTTTATCCTTTCTGGGGTTCATTGAAATCCTTGAATGTGTAGATTAGTGTCTTTTATAAAATTTGGGATGTTTTGGGCCATTAATTCTTTACATATTCTTTTGGCTTCTTTCCATCTTTCTCCTTTCTTTCTGGGTTTTTGCCTTTATCCTTTCTGGGGTTCATTGAAATCCTTGAATGTGTAGATTAGTGTCTTTTAGAAAATTTGGGATGTTTTGGGCCATTAATTCTTTACATATTCTTTTGGCTTCTTTCCATCTTTCTCCTTTCTTTCTGGGACTTCTGTTATGCATGTGTTGGCACCCATAGGTCACTTAGGCTGTGTTCATTTTTCATTCTTTTTTCTTCTCAGATTGGATAATTTCAATTGACCTGTCTTTAAGTTTGCTGATCCTTTTGCTTGCTCCAGTCTGCTATTGAAACTATCTAGTGAGTTTTTAGTTTCAGCTCCAGAATTTCCATTTGGTTTCTTTGTATAATTTTTGTTTCTTTATTGATATGCTCTGTTCATTAAGACATGTTTTCCTGATTTTCTGATTTCTTTGGCCATAGTCTCTTTAATTCTTAGAGTATATTAAGACAGTTGTTTTAAAGTCTGTGTCTAGTAAGTCTAAAATCAGCGCTCTCTCAGGGACAATTTCTGTTAATTTCTTCCAAGAATGGGCCATAC